TGAGAGTGAGTGTGAGAGCCTTTAGCAGGGTAACCTATCACAATTAGAGAGCTGGACTAGTTTCAATCATATGTACTAGGTTGATACAGTTTAATAGCCTATGGGTTTGATCAGATGATATAAGGAGGGATATAAGATGATTGCATGATCATGAGCATGATACTCGTGCAAAGCGTGTTTCATGAAATGATATACTTATGTATACTATTGGCTGTTTTAAATGTAATTGCCATACTTTAATATGTTCTCTTTAAGTTTCTCTGTTACTGAAATTGTTAGATCTCACTCCTGTTACTTAATGTTTTCCAAGGGGTAAGAAGGCAAAAGGAAAAGGAGAGCCATTGATGCCTAAGAATTAGAGAATGATTTGTAACATCTCTAGTTTAAATTAATGTGCAATGAGATTGCTAGTTTTCCAATTGTAGGACAAATGCGTAATTCAGTACATGTGTGATGATTATTTCATTTGCAAAGGAGCATAAGTATAACATTTTGAAAATTTTAAGACCCACATTTAATTTGAAATAAAATATTTATAATTAAATTAAAATTTAAAATAATTTGATAGAGGTTCAAAGTTTGAATTTTACTAAGCAAAAGCTTAGTTTTATTTTATTTTTAACTATGAGAAAAATTATCAAAGTTAACCCGGGTTTTTGTATTATAATAAGAAATGTTAGGCCATTTCTTGTAATTTTTTCCAAATTGCTAAAGTCAGTTTTTTAAAAGGAAATGCATGCAAAAACTGAAAATAGAAACAAAGGAAAAGGAAATGAAACAACAGAACAAAGAGCAAGAGAACACAAGAGACGGTAGAGAAAAGAGGAAGGAAGAGAGGGAAGCTAGAGCTCAAATTCGGGAGGCTTTGCAGTCGTTGCAAGTTTAGTTACGCAGTAGGTAAACTTCCTACTTCAATCCTCTTCCTTTCCTCTTGATTTTCTTCAATTTTTGGAAGATAAAATTTTTAAATTTTAATTTCAAAAGATTTATTCTTGTAAGCTTTAGCTTCTTTGGGTCCTTGGGAGATTATTTTGAGTTTTTATATTGTGTTCTAATATTTTGAGTGGGTAATTGAATGAAAAAAGGAGTTTTAGGGCAAAAATCAAACCCCAAGGGATTGAGTTTTTCACTTTAATAGTTTAAACCAATTGATTTAGTTATAATTGTGCTATTTGAATGTAAGAAGATTTAAATTAAGCTTTAGTTTTCATTATAAGGGCTAATTGTGAAAGTTGATAACACTGAGTGAAGCTTTTTGGTTAATTAAAATTGCATGGATTAGAAATTAGCCTAATGATGACTAATATATAGTTTTGGTAGTTAAGTGATACTATATGAATGGTTGGTTTAATATATGGACCATTGGGATGGATTATAGCTTATTGACTCAATTTTTATGATGCGAATTATAGTCTTCTTTTATGCTATTTGCCATGATAAGTGATGTGGATCACTTATATATTGTAAGGATTGTTGGTGGAATTTGTATGGAAGTTAAAGGACAAGTCAAGTCTTATTTTTGAACAAGGTGAAACCCTTTTGGTATAAAATGGTTGAGGTAATAGGAAAATTTATATTTTTTATTATTTTGTTTAGCTATTTTTGGGTAGATAATATTATCTAGCATGCATTATATGTTTAAAACAATTGAATGCAAATAAAATGAGTTTTAGAAGTGTGTATAGGGCGTTACTTTAATAATAATGCATCTATATCTACTATCTATTTAATAATGATGTTATTTATAAAAATAAGATTATTAACATGCATTGTGGTCATAAAAATAAAGAGTTGCACTTAGGGAGTATAACTAGGTTTGGTACCTTAAATATGCTAAGGAACCGCTTAGGGGATGAATTATGATTGTTATACTACCTTAGAGTGTTGAAGTGATCAATACTCGAGAAAGGTAGAAAAGGGTAGGAGGCATGATCTTGGTGGAAATTCACTAATGGAGAGATATTCTAGGGCTTACTATCAATACATAGTATTGCCTTTCATATTATAGGCTCAGTACACTAAAGTGATTAGTGGATTAAGTGTTCGACACTTCTCAGTGGGGGAAGGAATCTAGCATATGAAGTATGAGGTTAAGTGCCTAGGTTAAGGTAGCCCTCACATGGAAAGTAAGTCGGGCTGGCTTTAGGAGGGAGTTAGCTTTGACTGCTTAGGATTCACATCAAAGGGGCACAGGCGATTTAGTGGATTAGATCATGCATTAGTTTATATTTTGTGCTTGTGAAGGTACAGTGGGTATAAGATTTACTTAGAAGCTAAAGAGTGCTAGGGGCATTCTGTTGGTTAAGAAAGGGCATATTAGCCTATCTCATGCATTCAAGCATTTTAATTAGTTAATTATATATTATTTTAAATCTAGTATTTATTTATTTGACCATGGCTTTTCTTGTAATAAGGAATATTGATTTTTTTGTTATTGAGATTGTAATTATCTCACCCCTTTCTTTACAATATTATAGGTTCAGGCGAAGGATCCAGTGGTGGATGGGAAAAAGAGCTAAGCAAGGGGTTTGCTTATGATTTGTAAAGAACTGCAATTCCTTTCTTTTAATCAAGTACAGTGTAATGTATTTAGGTTAAGGTGCTAATAGGATGTGATTATATAGATATGCGTGTGAATATGTGTGGATTGCATGCATTTGTATGAATTTTTGTCTACTTATAGACTTGTAATTAGAAAACTTAATTATGGTGTGTGATTTTGATGAATTCATTTGGTAGACTAAATTTTCACTACAAGCAAATATTTATCTTGATATGTACATGAATATACGTGATTCTATAAGTAAATGCAAAGTGGTTGTATAGCGAATGATGAGCTATAGGCAAACATACACCTTAGATAAAGAGAGTGGGCACATGGGGCCCACGGGAGATCTCTGAGTCAAGTGAAAATATTTAGCACATGTATTTATATGAGTATATGGTGTTTGAATTAGTTTTTGGCCATTGTTATACGATTTGTGAATTTTAGGGTTTAGGATCCATTTCAGAAAATGGCACTCCGATGGTCACATTTTGATATAAGGGGTTTTTCATTATTTAAATGTTCTATCAGGTGCTCCTAGTCCTATTTGATGTGTCTAAAGTGTTCACAAGAGTTTGTGATCCTTAGGATGAGATTTGAATAATTTTAAAAATGATTTTTAACAAAAAGCTGCACTTTTGCATCTGGGTGTCCAAATTTCAATACGATCATTAAATTTTCCTAAAATTTAGGTCACAAGTAAAATTTTTTATAATCTTCATGTGGAATTTAGAATCGCCTCGATCGGGCATTGCATAGAGAAATAGAACGCTCCGAAAGTTGGTTTAAAGATGCTATCATGACAGTTATATAGTACTGTCAAGACAGCAATAATTGCTGAGGTTGGGAGGTGCACAGATTTTGATCTGACCATTGGATATTTTTAAAATTTGATGCATTTATAGTACTCTTTGAATGTGACATGTGGACTTTAGAATCGCTTTGAATGTAAGTCGGATGATGAAATGGTGCACTCCAGAAGTTGGTCCAAATGTGCTGTCATGATAGTAAAAATGCCAAACTTATAACAAGTCCAAATTTTAATCCGATTGTTGGATCTTTATAGAATATAAAACATTATTAGTACTCATTAAAATTGATATATGAGCTTTAAAATTACTTTAATCGGAAGCCAGATGGTGAATTGACACCTCCCGAAAGTTTTCCTTGAAGGGCTGTCATGATAGCATTAGTTTTGCTATCATGACATCAAAAATTAATGCTGTCATAATAGTAATTAATTATCCCTATTTGCCCAACTTGCTTCCGTGCGCTATATAGTAATCCTTTAAACTTTTTTAAGAGGTTTCAAATGTTTGCTTTGCTATTGTATATATTGTTTGGCAATTTAAATAGTCTATTTTCTAAGTTAGTTTTATGATAGATTATTTAGTTGTAATGTATTTTTATTAATACTCAGGGCAAGTGTTACAGTAAGTGTTATTTTGAGCAATTTTGTGGTTGTTGGCCCTTATTTTTGAAAGGAAGGCTAACCATGCAAATGTTCGAGCATTATAACAAATTGTAGTGCTTGTCCTGGCATATTACAATGAAGACCATGATGTTTACTCATGAGAATGCTTGTTTGTGTGAATGAATTGAAATTAAGAAGGGAGACACTCTTATTGTACATGGAGTCTTAGTACTCAAGTTAGCACACAGTATCCTAGGATTCTCATTTTGCATTAGAATGGTTTGAGGTCAAATTCTATAACTTGGTCACTTAAATTTAAGTTTGTGAGCTTTGTGTCATATTGGTATGATGTATGAGGGGAAAGTTGTGGGATTAAGGAGTTAAATGGGACCATATTGTCAGATGAGTTCGTCATCATAGAGCTTACCGCAATGAAGGTTGTCATTGATCGTGGCAAGCTTGTCAAAAAAGGGTTGGTCACAGTGTATGGTGCAACGGTGAGTGGTTTCTATGCTCTTCATCGCGACAAATAAGAGTGTACACAGTGGTGAACATGGCTAAGTGTTAGTTGCGGCGAGCTAACATAGTGAGACCTTGAATTGTCTCTTCCTCTCTTTAGCTGCCAGCTTCATTATAGTATTTTCTTTACTCGCTTTCACTTAATTTAATTACTCTAAATACCATATAAACTTTAGTCGGCTCTTCGATTAAGAGTTGTGATTAGGGAGTGTGTTGTAAGATAATAACTGCAATCATTACAAATGTTATGTAATTTACAATTTATATTAGTAAATTAATAAGTGAAGTAAGAAAATTAATAACTAATGATTTTGAATTTTGGACAAAATTAACAAGTGATGGGTTCTTTAATCTTTTCACTATTAAAAGTATTTCTATTTCAATTCTTCTGAACCAAACTGAAATTTCAAATTTTTTTGGGGATCCATTAATAATTAAATTATATTCCTGATTCTTAGTTGAAATTTTCTCTAAAAAAGAAATTTGAGTTTTTGAAGGACTTTGGCTGGCCGTAAGATTGCATCGACGGTCGATTGGTGTTGGGAGTTGGGACAACGTCGCTGCGACGATCGACTGCGGAAACGCAGATCCTGCACTGGCAACAAAAGGATCGGGTCGCGGCGAAGTGCGATTTGATTTGCAAAGCGGGGAGTTCTTTTTTTTTTGGAATGACAAGTTGAAAACAATATATCGACTCTGATTTCGCCGGCTTGTCTCCGTCGGTTATTTGTTTTCCGGACGCCGACTCTCTTTTTCTCACCCTTCCCTCTCATCCGAGAGTTTCTATTTTCTTCCCCTTCAATGGCGGCCAATTCGCACAGGGGCGGTTCTTTCTACGGTGATGCGGCCCCTTACCGATCCAGGTAGTATATCTGTACCTCGCTCCCCTCTTGAGTTCTCTCTATAGCTCTTCGTCTTGTTACGAGCAATTTGATTGCTGCAAAATTTCTTGCTTTTTGTTGTCTGCGAAGAATTTGCATGGACTGGTAGCTGATGCCTATGTACATATATTGCGATACAGACAAGGGCTTAGCACGAGACCGGTGGCTGGTTCCGATGAAATCCAATTGAGCATCGATCCTATGGACTTGGACGATGAGATCAGCGGTCTTCACGGCCAAGTTAGGAGGCTGCGACATGTATGTTCTTGATTTTTCAGGTTCTCTTTCTTTTGTTTTTTTTTTTTCCCTCCTTTGATTGATTTTTTGAATAAACAACGCATGATGAGGTATCAAAACCATGCTCTAGACTACATGTGCATTGATGCTCGAATGATGAATTGTTATGTGCAGTTTCAATTATCCTGATTGATGAGGAAACCCTTCACTTAAAAAACTGGGCGAGTGCTACAGATGAGAGGACATTTTTGTTTTTTGTTTTTTGTTTTTTGCGGTAGATTAATGAGCTGGGAGAACCGTACTATTTTATACATAAACTCTAAAGATTGGGTCTATAAAAGTTTCTTGTATTGCACTTTCTGGAATATGAGGTGGAATCGTTGATAACTGATGCTAGTTTGAGGTAATTATGGAAATCTGAAGCTGAACTCAGTCTCGTTAGCTTGACATATTGTTGAATGCCATCCTGCTTATTATTTATCTTTAATCGGATAGTTTAATGGAACTTTGTTACGTTCTTAAATTTTTGTTTCCCTCTCTTACTCCTCAAGTTCTAATACAGCTCCGTGTCTTTCTTTCTAGCGCAGGTTGCTGAGGAGATAGGGACAGAAGTGAGATATCAGAAAGACTTTTTGGAAGAGCTGGTACATTGTCTACTGGAGAATATGTGATTGACATATTTTCATCATTTATTTCTCAAACTGAAGATTTATTAGACAATTCAAATTCTGTTGAAGGAAATAAGGATTCCATTTACTTCTTAGTTTTAAGCAATTAATTTAGGATATTTTCTGGCACGAAAAAGGGAAAATTGGAGATACTATTCAAACTTATATTGTGTGTCAGGATTTTGAACAGCAAAGTCACTAACCATGGCAGGATATGTATTGTCGTCTCTCGTTTAGAAAATTGGAGTCCGCGTGTTATAATGCCAGGAATTTCAAAACATAAAAATTTGCACACATAGCTATCTTATTTTATTAATCTTTTCTCAAAATTGACCCAGAGCAAAATAGTTCTATTTGTGAATCTTGATAACTTGTTGATAGATTTGGGATGGCTGTCGATAATTATAGATGAAGGAAATTATAAGCTGAGATGTAATATGTACCTTCTGGTTTTGTTTTATAGAGATGGATTCGCTTGACTGTATATAATATTAATATGTGCCATTCTGTGGTTCGTGGTGTTCTCAAAAAGTTCAGACTTCTGTGTGTATTGGCACATTCTGCGATTGAGAGGGGATATACAGCATTCTAGCTCTCAATTTAATCTCTTGCACAGCTTTGCCAAGCATATTTAACCACTCAAGTTTGACCTTATAAATTTTCTTCCCAACTAATGCCTGTTGTATTCTTACATTCGTCCGAGTCTGGCTTTTGGAGCCTTTTGAACAACGATTTGGTAATCAATCGCATTCATTACTTTGCACCTCGCTGACAAAAATAGGGTTAACTGTCTCGCTGACATTTTGGTTGTGTATTTTTTCAATGCAGCAAATGACAATGATAAAGGCTCAAGCTGGGGTGAAGAATAATTTGAGAAGATTGAACAAGAGCATAGTTCAAAACGGTTCAAATCATATCCTCCATGTTGTTGTTTTTGCGTTGGTATGTTTATTTATTGTGTACCTGTGGTCCAAAATGTCCAGAAAATAAGACTACAGGGATGCGCAGCTTCCAGGTTGAAAGAATGACTACTAAAGAGCTTCCTTGGACGCTAACATGATGCTTGATTCTGCTGTGAAGATCATTTCCATGACTATGGAGGGGTTCGCATGTCTTACTCTTTTCTTTATACGTATGTGTGGTATTTAGTTAAATGAAGGGTTCTTTATCAAATTAAATGTCGTGCCTATATATTTATATCACTTCTCATCGTGTTGATCGTAGAATATCTTTACCCATTATACTCTTGCCTGGCTTCTATATTTCTCAGGCGTTTCTTTTTCAATTTCCAAATTCTTTACACAACCCATAATGGCAGCCTTATGCAAAGAGTAGAAGTGGATTACTGAACTCATAACTAACGTTTAGATTTAGATGCAATTGTCATGTTTTGTTACCAAGAGAATCTGGGTCTCCAATTGAAGAGGATAATCTCTCATAATGTAACAATTCAATGATTGACTTTATGTTGAAATAAATGCTTACATTTAAGCTGTGTTTAGTTAAAGGGAATAGGAGGGAAGGGGAGAGGAAATCCCCCAATTTGAGGGAAAGTTTTGGAGGGGAGGGGCCTCTCCACTTTACACCTCCCCTCCCTTTGTTTGGATGGGACAAGGGGAGGGGAAGGGCTTGTTTAGTAAAATTCTCTCCTCTAACCAAACATTCTCGAAGTGTTTAACTGTATCTCAAATAGAAATGATAGAAATGTCGCTAATAAGAAAATAGTTGTGCATAAGAAAGGGACTTGTTGCTCAATTAAATTGCTAGCTCGCAAATTAATTATTCTCTGTTTTTAGCTTTAAAGAAGATCTAAACAACTAATTTATTAAAGTTAGGTAAGTTAGTTATTTCTAAAAAAGAAGTGTCTTGGTTTTTTTTTTTTTTGTAAATCTCTCTCTTTTATTGAAAAATACACAAAATGAGGAGGTATCATTATTTATTATGTAAAAAATAATTTTTCCTTCCCGTATTTTCTATATGATGCAACAATATTTTAAACCTCAATTGCTGAGAAACAAGTATTAATTATACCTATAAAGAATATTTTTTAAAACAAGTATTAATTATATTTAAAAATTCATTTTACGGTTTTTTTTATTGGTTTTTCATATATATCATCTATTGAAGATAATTTTATTTAGGAAATATTAAGGCTTTTATTTAAGAATAAAAGGAATATAAAGATTAGACTTGTATTTAAGAACAAAGGAAGGACATTCACAGCTGCCATTTGATTACACACATTAATGCGTGCAATTAATAGAGATGATTTAAGAGAAAATAATAATTTTGAAAGATAAAAATCAAAATTAAATTTCTCAGTTAGCTCCTGTGTCTAGGATTACAATTAAATCGAATAGAAAACTTCCGTAAATATAGATGCTTAAGGGAAAAAGATATAATAGAGGCCTCGAACGTACATTATTCCAATTCTGAACAGATGTTTCAATTTCTTCTTATAAAAAGTGCCCTGAAAAAAAAAACGTTGAGTCCGTTGTACACTACCGATTTTCGTTCATATTTGAAGAACACTATTTAAAAAATATTACCATGGATAACAATCAAAACAATCTTTAGTATATAAGTTGTTTAGGGAATTGATTTATTTTATCTCGCAGGTAGATAATATTATGATTAGATATATTTAATTTACCATGGGTAGAGAGTAATGTTTGTTTTGTATTCACAGCTTGATGTTCTTTTTTTTTTTTTATTTAACTCTACATATGTTATATAGTCAGTCTGAAGCCTGGATAAAAGAGAAGGGTTGTGTTAAATCCTTAACAGCCAACATAAAACTTTGTTAAATCTTACATGAATATTTTGTGCTAATGCTGGGTCCGTGCTATATGGCTCGAGTGCAAGGGCCATCGCGTTAAATGAGCTAGGTGTTGCCCAAATGTAGTGCTAGATGAGTAAAGGCTACCGTATTATTCTGGATGAGCGCGGTTAAAGAAGTTAGTCCACGTGAGCAATATCAATTTGAAACTTAGAATGTTGGGACCTTAACTAGTAAATCTACAAAAGTGGTAGGAGCTATGATTCATAGAAAAATTAATATCTTGTGCCTATAGGAAATTAAATGGCCTGTTGAACAAGCTAAGGATATTTAATGTTTCAAACTTTGCTATACTGAGAAAGTAAGCACACGCAATAGGGTGGGTATCCTTGTTGATAAGGAGTGGAAGAAGAACATGGTAGAAGTTAATAGAATTGGAGACAGAATTATTTTCTTAAAAATGATTGTTGGACGTAAGACTGTCAATATTATTAACGCTTATGTACCTCAAACTGAGGATAGAAGTTAGTCTTAAGGAATTATTTTGGGAAGACTTAGAGAGGTTAATTCAAAGCATACCACATAATGAAAGGATCTTTATTGAAGGAGAATTTAATGGTCATATCAAGAGGAAGACAGGTCATTATAGGAGGGTGCATGGTGGTTTGGTTTTAGAAAGCTAAATAATAAAGGATAATCTATTCTTAATTTTTCTTTGGCATATGATTTCAAGATTGCTAATACTTGTTTTAAGAAGAGAAAGGAGTATCTCATCACTTATAAAAGTAGAGCCTTAAGGTCATAAATTATTTTCTTTTCAGTAAAAAACATAAATAGAAGACTTTATAGATATTGTAAGGTGATTCATGAGGATGCTGTAACGACACAACACAAGATCCTTATCCTTGATGTGTGTATTATGAGTAATAACCAAAAGCATCAAGAAGTGATAACTCTAAGGGTTAAGTGATGGCAATTAAAAGGTGAAAAGTGAAAAATTTTCAAATAAAATCTCCTAATTGAAGGAATTTAGAGTCTTAAGGAAGTGCCAATATAACATCCTAAAAAGTTAAGCCCAATTAACTAAGCTTAATTAGGGTAATTAAGTTTATTGATGTGGTGTGTGTCCAGAGAAGTCTAATAAGTATTTTTGAATGTGATTTCAATCCTAAATTCGGTTCCAAAATAAAGTCAAACCACTTGAGCATTAAAAGGTGAGAAAAGCTAGTGGGAGCCTCTATACTACATGCCACGATGTGTAGCACGTCTTTCGTGACACATAGAGGGCAATCAGGGAAAGACAAACATCTCTATGTCATACATCACATCACATGATGCATATGTTGTTGTACATGGCTAGAATTTTGCATAAATGGTTTCATGTCTATTCTAAAAATCAGTAGGAGAAGGAGAAAATGAGAGCACGCCAGTTGCTCTGCTAGGGCACAAATTTGGGGACATTGGAGATATTTTGGATCCTCTTAACATCAAATGTAAGTCTCACATGCCTTCTACTTTCTTTCTCCCTCTATTTTTCTTGAAGATTAAAGTTAAGGTTTGAGTTGGGATGATGATTTTCGATCCATATGAACTGTAGGTTCAAACCCATTGACTTAGATAGAGTTAATGGGAGTTGTTTAGACTATTTCAACCTAGTATTAGTGGTTTTGTGAGTTATTGGTTGGTGGAAACCATTAATATCCGAAAATGGCATTAAATATGATAGTTGGATGAGTTGAAATACCATTAATGGTGGATTGTTGGCTTATAATGACAATGTAAGTTATTGAAACTTAATAAACTCAATAGGTATGATTGGGAATGAATTTATAATTTTGATAAAAAGAGAATGTGGAGTTAGAATGTTCATAAATTCTCAAAAAAGGATATTAATGAATATCCTTGTAATTTTATTATAGACTAACCAAATTGGCACCATTCAAGATTTAAAAAAAGCTTTGAAAATTTGTATTTTAAGGGAGTAAATCTTTAATTTTTTAAAAGTTTAAGGGAAAATCTTATCTGTACTATGTTAATTATTTGTTAGTTGAACTACATAATTTGAAATTTATTGAGTACTTGAAGACCTATTGATGCAAATGTTTGCAATGTAATGAATTTTGTGGTGTGAATTTGTGTTAGATTATTGAAGACAATATGCATGTATACATATGTTACCAATGTTAATGATTAGGTACATGTATTTATAAAAATGAATAACTTGTTATATCTAGCATGTGGAGATGTGTGTTGTATAATAGAGAAAATATGGTTATGAATGAGATATGACATTATTATTGGTAGAATTGCATAATATGTGTTAATATTTGCATGGTATGATCATTTGGCGAGAGTTTACCTTTAAGGAGAGAAATAGATTGGTAAATCCACATGATAACGGTGGCTTACTGTTGAAATCAGAAGCTTACATCAATACCGACCATTGGAATCATGAGGTAGTCATTGTCTTATAGTTGATTAGGGCCTATCCCACTTGTTCTTCAAGAGACTTAAACCTAACTAGTTTTCAACGGTTCATGAGAATGTTAGATTAGAGGTACGACACTCCATAGTTATTAGTATTTGAGAAAACCATGGATCACAAGTGAATGGGTTCATCCTAGCTTGATAGCTCTTATGAGTGAAAGGTTGAGTTAGTTTGAATTATGGATGTAGCCACTGGATAGCCATCAGTTTCATGTTGAAAGTATCAAGAGGCTATAAGATTAGCATTAATAATACATTCTATTCCTAGCCACATGATTGACAATCATTGTAGTCCAGCGTGTTTTAATTAGGGATGCCTGATTGTTATTTTTGCGACCTCATGATATGCATAATTGAGATACATTTGATGATTTACGTTGTATGCCTGGTCACATGATTGTTATTTTTGTGGCTGAGGCTATATTCATCATATATGCATATGGTAAACATAATTGTTGCCATTTACATATGTAATTAATTAATATGCAACTATATAGGCTAGATTGACCTTGGTTATTGAATGATTGTACTCTTCCCTCATTTCTTAACATTACAGGACCTAACTCATCGGATCAAGATTGAGAAAAATGATCAGAGGCCTAAGATCGTGTGTAAATCCTATCAGTAGGCTTGTTGATTTACTTTTTATGTGTTTCAACTGTTAATTTGCCAACTAGGTTAGCATAATCTATTTTGACTATTTGCACTTATATTTTGATGTTTGAAATGTATTTTGTGCCCTGGGTTTATTTATGATGGGGTTGTAAAGCTTGATAGGGCTAAAATACCAGTGTAAGTAGGGTAAGGTGTATTTGGTTGACTTTAATGAATATTTGATAGATTTATACAAAGTTAATTCTCTTACATATTTTTCATGAATTAAGGGGTTGAGTATGGAAATTATGAATTATATGTGTTGGATTGACTGTGGTGTGTTGCACGAGTTCGTAATGGTCTATTGAGTGTAGTTTAGGGGTTGGTGTAGGGTTTTGGCACTTTATAGTTTGAACACCCAAGTTGTGTGTTTATGTGAAAAAAG